TTTTAGCTTTGTGTGCTAATAATACATCATCCATATAGTGAAATATTTGTAGTTCAGGATTTTGATTTCTAAGTGGCTGGATTACTTTGTTAACATAAATTTGACACCTAGTTGGGCTGTTAGTCATCCCTTGAGGGAGTACTTTCCATTCATATCTCTGATCAGGACCTTCATGATTCAGTGCAGGGATAGTAAATGCAAAACGTGGACTATCCTCAGGATGAATTGGAATTGAAAAAAAACAATCTTTAATATCTATAACTAAAACATACCAGGTTTTTGGTAAAGCAGACAATTGAGGAATCCCCGATTGAGCAGGTCCCATAATAACCATCTCATTATTAATGGCTCTTAAATCTTGCAATAATCTCCATTTACCAGATTTCTTTTTGATGACAAAAATGGGAGTATTATGGGGAGATACAGAAGGTTGTATATGTCCTTCCACTAATTGTTGTTTGACCAGGTCATGGGCTGCTTGTATCTTTTCTTTAGTCAGGGGCCACTGAGGAACCCATACTGGTCTTTCTGATTTCCAAGTAATTTTTATTGTCTCAGTGGACCTTTCTGAAAATCCAACCCATGTCTGTCTGTTCCTTGATCTATTTGTATTGGTGCTGCTATACCTTGTTCTTGTTTTTCTAATCTTTTTCCTTTCCTAAAACCTTGTCTAGCCATAATAGTGGGTGCATTTTGATTTATGTTATTTGTTAATGTCAAACCTAACTGATCTAGGACATCTTGTCCCCATAAATTTACGGGAAGATGATTCAATACATATGGTTGTATAGTTCCTTCACATCCTTCAGGATCCTTCCAATCTAATACCATTGCACTTCTATGGGGATTAGTCGCCACTCCTAGGCCTCGAAGCGTTTGAGTGGCTTGTTGTAATGGCCAATGTTTTGGCCATTCTTGATGAGAGATGATGCTAAGGTCTGCACCTGTATCCATTAGCCCATTAAATTCATGTCCTTGAATATTTCGTTTTAGCATGGGGTGAGAATCTAAATTTAAAGAAAGCATAGCCCAATCTACACTTGTGGAGCCTAATCCCTTGGAACCTCTTTCTATAGTACGACTGGAAAATTTATCATGTAGGCTGGGTATTATTAGTAACTGTGCTATTCTATCTCCTGGTGAAATTACTGATATACCCTTTGGAGAACTGGCTATAATTTTTATTTCACCTTCATCATCGGGATCAATTACCTCAGGACTTATCATAAGTCCTTTTAGAGTAGAAGAACTGCGTCCCAATAATAAGCCTACTGTTCCTTTGGGAAGAGGTTCTTTTACCCCTGTGGGAATGATTTGAACTCCCATCTCTGGAGTTAGTACTGTTCTGGCAGAGGCGCAGATGTCTAATCCTGCACTTCCTCTGGTTTGTCTAGTGAGGGATTTAATGGACAATGTGTCCTGGGCACTACCCTGATGGGGTTGCTGGGTTCCTCCAGTGCTCCGTATATTTGTGGTCTTGGGCCCTGGAGCACTGGGCCCCCCTGTCCATTTTTTGGCAATGGAGCCCGATGCCTTTCTCCACGATATCGTGGATAGACACCTGGTCCTTGTTTGTTTTTTGATAATGGAGTACCCTCTATGGTGGTTTGAGAACGGCATTCATTAGCCCAATGTCTCCCTGTATGGCATCGTGGGCAAATACCCGGTATTCTACTCCTTTGATACCTAGTTTTGTTAAACCCTCCTCCTATGGGGCAATTCCTTTTAAAATGTCCTGTTTGTTCATAGTTGTAGCCTGTTCTTGGCCTGGCATCTAAAGCCTGTTTTAATGCAGCTGCCATGACTTGCCCTTGTTCATTAATGTCTCTACATAATTTAATATATGTGTTTAAATCTTCATGTTTCCATGGTCTAATGACTTCTCTGCACCAACGATTCACTTGCTCATAAGCCAGTTGTTTTATTAATGGCATTGCTTGTTCTGTATTCCCAAAAACTCTCGTAGCTGTTTGAATAAGCCTATCTACAAATTCAGCGTAAGATTCATTAGCTCCTTGTATTACCTTAGATAATTGACCTTGTAAACCTCCATGTCCTTGTAAAGTCTTCCATGCCCTAACCGCATCTGCAGCAATTTGTGCGTATATACGCCAGGATCATATGCAATTTGTTGCTGCTGATCCTCATAAAAGCGAAACAAAACAAAAGAAGAATCTTAAAATGGCTACCCATCCTCTCGCCCTGCCCTCAGGGGCGAGCAGTTTACCTTATCACTTACCCTCATTTGTTCCCCCTGGGAGCCACCAAATGCCGCAGTCTGGCTGGGCACAATTCAGGAGCCACTTGTCAAAAGAAACAAACTTTATTTTTAGAACACACATGCCACACCACAGGAGCTCTTCAGGAAAACCTTCAAAGCCCAACTGCCACCACTGGCTTCCCACAAGCCTCTCAACCTCCCCCACTCCTCCTGCTCTTGAGGCTGATTGGCTGGGTCACATGGGCGGAGCCAAAAAAGTCCCCCAATGAGCAGCTCCGTGGTCTGAAAGGGCAGGGAAACAGCCCAATGAGCATCACCGCAGAGGAGCCAATCAGTTGGCAGCTAGAAGTTTGCTGGGGCCACTGTGAGCCAGTCATCAGCTGGCAGCTGGAAGTTTGCTGGCAGCTGGAAGTTTGCTGGGGCCCCTTTTGGCTGTGGCTCTCAACGCTGGACTGTCTGCACCCACCCTGACAACCAGCACTCATCCACATCCAATCACATATGTGCACTTACATGTGAATGCACATATGTGTACATGATGTACACACACTCATACACGCACATGTGCACTCAAACTTTTTGCCTGATTCCTATTCTTCCATCAGTTCTCAACTTAAAGGTCATTTTGACCTCTGGGGAATCAGCTGACCTACAATGGGGTTGCCTCTGCCGCTTAGGATGTCCCTTACCTGCTTATCCATTTTTTTCCCTATGAGTTCATATTACAAATAATAATTATTTACTATCTGTTTTCTCCGCTAGATTGTAAGTTCCATGAGTCTGTCCTGGTCTCTGGAATCAATGTCTCATACAGAAGCCAGTACATGTTAAATATAAACATGTACAGCTAGGTGAGGTTGTGCAACCTGTAATCCCAGCTACTTTGGGAGGCTGAGGCAGGAGGATTATGGTTTGAGGCCAGTTTCTACAATTTAATGAAATCCTGTCTCAAAAAATAAAAAGGGCTGGGGATGTAACTTGAGGGTAAAGAGCCTCTGGGTTCAATCCCTACTACTGCAAAAAAAAAAAAAAAAATTTTTTTAAAAAGAAGAACTTTAAACTGGGTAGAGGAGGATTGCGAGTTCAAAGCCAGCCTCAGAAAAAGCAAGGTGCTAAGCAATTCAGTGAGATCCTGTCTCTAAATTAAAAAATACAAAATAGGGCTAGGGATATGGCTCGAGTGCCCCTGAGTATTAAAAAAAAAAAAAAAGGAACTTTGACAAACTGGGTAGAAAAGAACCCAAGAAGGGTACCACCAGGAACAAATCTTTGTGTGAACTAGGAACTCCAGGGATGATGTGTCAGGGTAGGTTCATGGATTGTAACAGATGTACCAATCAGGTAGGGGATGCTGCTAGTGAGGGAACCGTGCCTAAGTGTGGACAGAGGAACATGGGCACTCTCTGCACTGCACTTTCTGCTCAATTTTTTTTTTAAACTGATCTTGCATATACCTTCTCTGGATGGTTCAAGAGACTGTAATGCTTTTTTCTTTCTTTCTTTCTTTTTTTTTTAAGAGAGAGAGAGAATCTTCAACATTTACTTTTTAGTTTTCGGCAGACACAACATCTTTGTTTGTATGTGGTGCTGAGAATCAAACCCGGGCTGCATGCATGCCAGGCGAGCGCGCTACCGCTTGAGCCACATCCCCAGCCCTGCTCAATTTTATTGTAAACTGTAAAAGTGTTTAAGCTGAGTGTGGTGCACATACCTGTAATCCCAGTGACTTGGGAGCCTGGGGCAGGAGGATCACAAGTTCCAGGCCAACTGGGCAACTTAATTAGATTCCTCTGTCTCCAAATAAAAAATAAAAAGGACTGGGAATGTAACTAAGAGAGTCCCTGGATTCAATCTCCAGTATCAAAAACAAAAAACAAAAATCCCTCTGGGTTTAGTTGCTAATTTCTTGTGACAGAAGATCAGGTTGAGGAGCTGGGGTTGTGGTTCAGTGGTAGAGTGCTTGCCTAGCATGTGTGAGGCACTGGGTTTGATTCTCAGCACCATATATAAATAAATAAAATAAAAACCCATTGACAACTAAAAAAATATTTTTTAAAAAAAGCAGGTTGATTTGCCCTCATGAGCATGCAATCAGCAAAATCTAGACTTTGAGAAACCCTACTGTTTCCTCAACAAATAACTTTTGAGAGAAGGACCAAGCTAGAGGGAGACTCAGGATTCTACTAAGTTTTGAATGGACATTAAAATTTTTAAATTAGCACTGTTTAATTTGTGATGTCCAAGGAATCATACTTGGGCAAGGAAACTATAAAGAAATATATGGAAGTGATTACACAAAAGTTAGAAGAGTTACTTCTGGGGGGTCAAGGAGGGAGCTATGGCTGAGTCCGGGCACATGAGGGGTTGCTGAAATGGTTGGCACAATTCCAGTTCTTGATCCTGGGTGGTGATTATAAGGGTTTTGCCTTATTTTAATTATTTAGAGGAAGAGGTTTGGTTGTGAAAGGAAGAAAATTATGGAAGGAGCTGTGAAATTGAAGGTGCTGATTTGTGCAGGCAGGGGCTCCTGTGGTTGTCTCCCATTCCTCATCCCATTTTGCTTTGTGGTTCACAAGCCCTTCTACTTCCTCTGAGAGGCAGAAAGAGCAGATTACTGTCTCCATTTTACAGCTGGAAAAATTGAGGCTGAAGTTTGTGACCTGCCCCAAGTCCCACTGGTCATCAAGAGCAGAGGCTTCCCAGCACCCAGGCCTCTTGCCTCCAACCACCCTGTGGGTGAGCAGAGCCAGCTCACCCAAGGCTGCCCTGTCCCCTGCAGGAATCACTGAGATTCTGATGAACAGACCCCATGCCCGCAATGCCCTGGGAAACATCTTCGTCAGCGAGGTAAGAAAGGAGGGCGCCAGGGTGGGTCTGGGGATGGACTAGGAAGTAACTGACAGGATGCCCTCTGCAGATGCTGGATGCTCTGGCCAGGCTACGGGAGGACCAGAAAGTGCGTGTCCTGCTCTTCAGAAGTGGAGTGAAGGGTGTGTTCTGTGCAGGTGGGTCCCTCTCTGTCCCCTGCAGGGCTCCCATCAGCCTGCAGGGATACATATTTCCAGTTTACAAATGCAAACTCTAAGAGAAGTAAAATTCCTTGCCTTGGGTCACACAGCCATATGAGATAGTTTGATCTTGACCTCTCTGACACCACATTCTGTTGTTTCTGCTATTGCATGCTTTGTTCTGACCCCTCACTGAGGAAATGAAGAAACTGAATCCAAACATGTTCACAGGTCAGTGGCTAAGATGGGACTGTGCCTCTTTATTCACCCATACAATCAATCCCAATCTGTTACCAAAGCTGTCCGCTGCACCTGTTATTTGGTTCTCACAACAGAACCAGCACCATGAACTTCAGTTTCAAAGGTAGGGGAAAATGTACGCAGGTCTCAGTGAGAAATCAAGAGACCTGAGCTGAGAACTGACTCTGGGATGGTGGTTGGGAAGGGGAAAACAGAGACCATGAGGGAGGCATGAAGATGCTGTGAAGGGGTGGGAAGGGAGAAGCCTGATGCTCAGGAGTCAAGGGAATATGGCTCAGCTCTTTGGTCTGAGCTGTTAGGATCATGTGCACGTGATCTCCTACAACCCCAGTCCCTGACAACCTATCTCTATTCTATTTTCTTCCCTATGAATTTGCCTATTCTAGATACCTTATATAACTAGAATCATGAAATATTTTCTTTTCTGTGTATGGCTCATTTCACTTATAGCATAATGTCCTCAAGGTTCATCCATGTTGTAACTAAGTGTCAGCACTTCTGTTTACCAAACACATTCTGTTTACCAATTCATGTGCTTTTCACTTTGGGGTCACTGTGAATAATGCCCCATGTGAGCACTGCTATCCAAGTATCTGGGTGAGTTCCTGTTTTCAACTCCTTGGAGTGTTCATGTAGGACTGGAATTGTAACTTTATTTATTTATTGTGATACCAGGGATTTAGCTCAGGGGTGTTCTACTATTGAACCACATCTCCATCCCTTTTTATTTGGAGACAGGATCTTGCTAAGTTGCCCAGGCTGGCCTTGAACTTTTTTTTATTCACTTTTTTTTTTTATTCTTCTGCCTCAGCCTCCCAGATAGCTGGGATTTACAGGATGTGCTACTACACTCAAGTTTTTGAGAAGCCACCAAACTGTTTTCCAAAATAGCTATATCTTTTACATTACCCCCAGCAGTATTCTAGGGTTCCAGTTTCTCCACATCCATGCCAACACTTTTTCTTAAATAATAACCATCCTAATGTATAGGAAGTAGTATGGCACTGTGGTTTTGACTTGCATCTCTCTAAAGACTGATGATGGTGAGCATCTTTTTGTATGCTATTGACCATCTGCATATCTTCTCTGGAGAAATGTGTATTCAAGTCCTTTACCTACTTTGAATCAGTCCTTTGTTTTTGTTCTGGATTTGTAGGGGTTCTTTATATATCTTAGGTAATAATTTGTGTGTGTGTGTGTGTGTGTGTGTGTGTGTGTGTAGACAGAGAGACAGACAGACAGACAGACATATGCCAGGTATCATACCCAAGGCTACACACAGCTAAACAAACTCTTCTGATCCACACTCCAAGCCCTGTTGTTAATACTTTACCAGATATATGATTTGCAAATATTTTCTCCCATTCTATGGATCATCTTTGCACTCTCTTGTCTTTTGATGCACAAGAGTTATTTTATTTGATGAAGTCCAATTCGTTTTGTTGTTGTTGTTTTGTTTTTGGTTTTTTTGGTACCAGGAATTGTACCTAGGGGTGCTTCATCACTGAGCTACATCCCCAGACCTTTCAATTTTTTGAGACAGGTTCTAAGTTGTTGAAGCTGGCCTTGAACTTGCAATCCCTCTGCCTCAGCTTCCAGAATCGCTGGGGTTACAGGCATGTACCGCTGTGCTGGCCTCATTTGTCTTTTTGCTGTGGTTGTTGCATATCTCCTTTTTCAGCATTCCTCTTTCTCCTTCTGGCTTCCTTGACTGTTTCCTGGTGTTTCTCCTTCTTCTCTGGCTGCTTCACCTCAAGACTCCTTTGCTGGATCCTTTAGCCACCTAAAGGATTAGGATTAGATTCCATAACAAGCCATTTTCCCAAGGGATGGTACCAAACCCTCGCCATCTGCAGGTGCGGACCTGAAGGAGCGGGAGCAGATGAGTGCAGCAGAGGTGGGGGTCTTTGTCCAGCGACTCCGAGGCTTGATGAATGACATTGGTGAGATCTGGGGTCCAGGGTTGGAAATGCCTGATGCCAGCCCCTCCTCACCCACCCTCTAAAGAGAATACTGTTTTGAGCTTTGTGTAGACAGATGACTCTTAAGGTTTGGGTGTGGCCACAAGAAATTCTATAAGAGGGTGCAGAGAGCATTCCTACTCCAGGGGGGACCCTGACTCTTCTCCCTTTGTGCCCCATTCTATTGACCACTCTTAGGGTTCAAGTCCAGCCATTCCAGAGGAGTCAAGTTCACCAAACAGGCCTTCAGGCTTTGACAGTTGCAGGAATCTTTGCCAGGAATACCCTTTCTTGGGTTCCTGAACTTACACTCTCCTTCAAGGTCTCCATGCATCCTCCTTCAGGAGGCCTTCCTGACCCACCCTCCAAGATTTTTTTATTGGAGCATCAGGTTACCATTGTCTTTTTGTCCATTTGCCTTCCCCATTAGACTAAGCCCCATGGGGACAGGGGTCACATCTTCAGGTCTGGGTTCATAGCACCTAGCACAGGGCTTGGCACACAGAAAGACTGGGGCCCGGTCAGCCCATCTCCCACTCACATCTCCATTCCGTTTCCCTTCCCCATGGCAAAACTGACTTCCCAGTTAACCTGGCTGAGGTACCAAGGGAGGTCTCCAAACCTAGGGCTAGTGAGTCCCTTATTCCAACTAGCTTGCCCCTCACCAGAGCTGGGTGTCTGTCTTGGTCCTGACCCTTCTTCATCTCCACAGCAGCCTTCCCAGCACCCACCATTGCAGCTATGGATGGGTTTGCCTTGGGCGGGGGCCTGGAGCTTGCCCTGGCCTGTGACCTCCGAGTGGCAGGTAATGGACAGGGGGTGAAGAGGGGAGGGTTAGTGAAACAGGCTGTTGGGGTTCTGCAGTCAGCCTCTGCTCTTGGCCTTCCAAGAGAAAAGCTGAAGGAGGGTAGGGGGAGACACAGAGGGAGCACAAGCCTTTACCTATGAGAACTGCTTCCCTCAGTATGATCACACAGACCTCAGAGCAACTGATGACAGGACAGCAAAAAGAGCATGGAGAAGGGAAGCCAAGGAGGGCAGAGATCATGTTCAACCTTTCAGTTCTGTCCAAGTCAGATTATTTACCATTGATTGAGCCAAGAGGCAGTTGGTCACTGGCCCAGCTAGTTGCAAGGTGACTGAGCAGAATATTGATTGCCCTTAGATTCACTGTTGGCACTACTTGTTCTGCAGTTGAGCCTCGAGGAAGGGGAAGAAGATAACTGATGGGTTTTTTTAATTTGTTTGTTGTTTTGCGATACTGAGGATTGAACCCAGGCCTTGCACATGCTAAGAAAGTGCTCTATTACTGAGCTACATCCCCACATTCCCAGCCCTCAGCTGATGGCTTTACAAAGTTGCTGACTTTGAAGTGCCATTCTTGGAGGTAGTAAGTAAGTGGTGGTACCTCTCCCCCAAGCTTTTCCTGTCACTCCAGGCACAGCACTCAAAAATATGTAGCTTCAGGCATGAAGGTGGCTTCTGTCTACACCAAGTATGTCAAAGAATTGACCAGGTAGTGTGGCACTAAGTACCAGACCATAGTCCCAATTTTGCTTCTCACATGTTTCAGGCAATTAATTCACAGGGTTTCTGTGATGACAGAGATTAAGAGTGGGAAACTCCCCCAAAGCAGTGACATGGCCAGTTCTTTCTGCCCACACTGCATAGGTCAGATGCTCTGTGCTGGGGGAGTTCAGGAGAGGCCTGTGTGTGGATCAAATAAAGCTTCTCAGGGGAAGCAGAACTTAGGAGGAGGACCATCAGGGAGATTTCAGACTGTGACCAAAAAAAAAATGCTGGGAGGTATAACCATGATTGGAACAGAATCCATCAACACTCTAGGACAGGCCAGAGCTAAGGGTCCATAGGACAGAGAATCCACTAAGACAGAGGTAGGTATCAGGCATCTTCTTGAAAGAAGAACCCCTGTTCTTCTTTCAAGCCATTACACTCTGAATCAGGCAGAAGAGGAACAATCACCTTTTTTTCCATCATTGAAGCTCAGGAAGGCAGAGACTTGCTGGTGACTCACAACTACACAGAGGGTGGTGAGATGTGGGACTGGGTCTCTGTACTTCCAGGTTAGGGCTCTTCCAGAGGCAGAGTCTGGGTAAGCATGGGTGTGCCCACATGAGGAGAGAAAGTGGCTGAAGGGGTGAGGAGACCAAAGCAGGAGTCTCTTCTCCACAGGAATTTGCAATGGAGGATGGGATTGGGAGGGAGTACTTTACTCTCCTCTATTTAAACAGCTTCCTCGGCAATCATGGGACTGATTGAGACCACTCGAGGGCTCCTCCCAGGGGCAGGTAATCTTGCCTACAGCCTTAACCTTCTCTCTGCCCAGTTACACCATCAAAGCCCTTCCCTGCCTGCTTTCCTAGTTTACCCTGGGCCCTGACCTCCCATCCTACCTCAATCTGCAACTCTGAGAAGTCCAGGCAATTACCAGGATAGGGCTTCCCTGGGTTCCCCCTTCTCAACATCACTTACCCTCCATCCCGGCAGGAGGGACTCAGAGGCTGCCCCGCTGCCTGGGGGTGGCCCTGGCGAAGGAGCTCATCTTCACAGGCCGACGTCTGAGTGGCGTACAGGCCCACGCACTGGGACTAGTGAATCACACCGTGGACCAGAACAAGGAAGGTGATGCTGCCTACCATCGGGCACTAGCACTGGCTCAGGAGATTCTACCCCAGGTGTGTAGACAGCCAAGCACAGGCTGGAGGGACATTGGAGGCCCCAAGGGCTAAGGTATTCCTTGGGGCTGCACAACATCCATTTACTCAAAGACATAAAATGAACCCTCTTTGGAGTTTTCCCACTCTTTCAGTAAACAAATCAAAGCAAATTTTAATTCTGAATTAAAAGAAAAATTGAATTCTTTAGGGCTAAAATCTGCCCATCTCTGCTGTCCAGGATGGCAGAAGAGTCAAACTAAGTTATTTAAATCAAAAAACTTAGCTCCTCACACTAGCTACATTCTCAAGGCAAGTGGCCAGTGGCTATTGTATAATACAGAACAGCCTTTAAGTATCCCCAAAGACTGTAAAAGCAAGATTCTTAAATGGATGCAAAACTACCATGTGCCATGTTTCCTGCCACACTGCATAATTAATTTCTTAAAATATGCAGGACATGTATAAGACTCATTAATTTCCTAAAATCTTCAAGGTAATGGAGGTGTGGCTCAATGGTGGAGTGCTTATCTACTAGCATACACAAGATCCTGGGTTTGATCTCCACCATAGCAAAATAAATAAAAATAAAATCCTACAATAGTCTCTGGAGATAGTTTCCCAAAGGGTTTAGAACTGCTCCTTAGGGAACAGATTTAGGCCTGGCCCAGAATCAACCCTACCAGCTGCAGGGCCAAAGTTCCAGTAAGGATACCCAGGATCTAGCTGGCTAGGGTACCCAAGGCCCTGAGAAGCTCTGCTGGCTTTTCACTAAGTGGGACAGACAGGAGGCATGAGGGGGAAGAGGGGTAGGGTGGGAGGGATAAGGTCTCAAGTTTCCATATTCATAAAAGCTGCTAAAATGTAGTTAGGTTTAAATAATTTAAAATAATATTGATGCAGCCTGGACCAAGTACCTTTAATCTGTCAGACACAATGTTAGGTACTTTAATACAGTGTGTCTCAATTAACTAGAATAAAACAGTAGAGTTAATTATTATTTTTGAGAAAACAGACACAGAAAGATTAAGTGACTTGCTCATTAAGGTCACAAAAAGTGATTGCAATATCATAAAAAAAAAAGCAAACACTGGTATTTGGGTATTTATTTTGCATGAAACATAATATTAAAAACTCATGATTTTAAGAATGCAAAACATACAAAATTTTAAAAACTTTAAACCAAATATATAATCCATTTCAAATACAAAAACTTTACAAACATTACAAAGCAGTTAAAATATAAACCTGTAAAAATGTGAGCCATATCACTAACAGAGATCATTTCAATAACCATAAATAGTGTTTTGTTTTGAAAAAAAGAGAAACAGAAAATAATTCCTTGTAAACTGAAATAATCCTCTTTTATAACTGAGATTTTTTAAAATTTGGGTATTAGGGACTATCTACTTTTGGAATTGACAATGACTTGCATTTAAAACAGAATTTCACAGGGCACAGTGGTGCACACCTGTAATCCCAGTGACTTGGGAGGCGGAGGCGGAGAATTGCAAGTTCAAAGCCAGCCTCAGCAACTTATCGAGGCCCTAAGCAATTTAGCAAGACCCTGTCTCAAAATAAAGAATAACTAAAAAGGGCTGGGGATGTGGCTCCATGGTTGAGCACCCCTGGATTAAATCCCCAGTAGCTTCCCGCAAAATTGAATTTCATTTTCATTTTTAGTGTGAGGGGTGTTTCACTATATTAAATGGAGATTCTGGTGACCTTTCCTGGACCACTTTAATGCCATAAGGTTCTTATTACTTTTGGTCAGAAAGTCTTTGAATTCATACAGAGTTCAGAATAACTCCAAGGAGTGGCTGGCAGCAGATTCCATTGAGAGCATCAAACTAGCTAGATTCATAGACTGTGTATAGTGCCTTTTTGTATAAACTGGGTAACAGAAGCTCAAGATGATTTATATTTCCATGTATACTGAAATAATGGCAGCATACTAATAAAAATTATTGATTATTTGAATACTTAAAAGCAGTTCTGCTCAGTGGTTCAGGAGGCTAAGACAGGAGGATTGTGAGTTCAAAGCTAGCCTCAGCAAAAAATGAGAAACTAATTAATAAGCAACTCAGTGAGACCCTGTCTCTAAATAAATTTTAAAAATGGGGCTGGGATGTGGCTCAGTGGTCAAGTGCCCCTGAGTTTATTCCCTGGTATCAAAAAAGAAAACAGTAGTTCTGTAAACCAAAACATCAGCCTACCAAAACATAGTAACTATAGTCATGAATTCCACAGCTGGGACCTTCTTGAGGGGGCGGGGTTTGCAGGGAAACAACCTTCAACTTCCATCTATGTTATTGAAAATTCAGAATGAACTTTTCCCCAGAGCTGGACATGGTGGTACATACCTATTATCTCAGCAACTCAGGAGGCTAAGGCAGGAGGATTGCAAGATCAAGTCCAGCTTGAGCATCTCAAAATTTAAAAGTTTAAAAAGGCCTAGGAATGTAATTCAGTGAGAGAGCACTTGCCTAACACGTGTGAGGCCCTGGGTTCAATTTCCAATAAGGGTGGATAGTAGTGGATGGTGGAGGTGACACAGGTTTCCCGGATGGGGAGAGTGCCAAGGTCAGTGTGATAGATGGTTGTCATCTAGTGGACAAACAACATAGAGTCAAATGGTTGAGTTTAAACTATTAATACTGTAAATGCAAATGCATTCTACCGTAAAATAAATAAATAAATTTTAAAAATAATACTGTAAAGGCAAGGTTCCTATCTCTACACTTGAATTTCCCCCTTAAGTAGCAAATATACATTATACTTTGAATAAGGGATTTGGATATGTTTTCTATTCGAACATCAAACATGTTAAATGTTAACTAATTTGTTTTTTGTTTTGATATTAGGGAGCAAACTTAGGGCCTCACCATATCAGGCAAGCACACTACCACTGAACCACTCACTATATATCACCAGCCACCTGACCCCCACCCCTTTTTACTGAGACAAGTTTTTTTTTGTTTTAATTGAACCCAGGGACACTTTAACAACTGAGCCACATCCCAAGCTCTTTTTATTTTTTGAGACAGTCTCATGAAGTTGCTTAGGTCTTTGTTAAAATTGCTGAGGTTAGCTTTGAACTTGCAATCCTTCTGCCTCAGCCTTCCATGCCATTGGGATTACAGCCATGTGCCACACTACCATACCCATTGAGAGGTTCTTACAAGGTTGCCCAGGCTGGCCTCAAACTTGGAATTCTCCTGCCTCAACCTCCTGAGTAGCTGGGATTACAAGTTTGTACTACTGTGCCTGGCTTTTACTTTCTTTAGTGAAAGATGTTTCTTTATTGTGTAGTTACCAACATAACAACATATTCATGGCAAACAAAGAGAACAGAGGAATAAGAAGGGCATAAAGTAAAAGTCAGAAAATGGAAACAGTGGGGTTTGCAGTTGCTGAGATGAGGGGGATAGAGGAAGGAAGCAGGAGTCCGATGACTCACTAGATAAATGTAACTAGATGCTTCACTTCCCTGGGTCTCAATTTCATATCTGTAAAATGGGGGACTAATGAAGACACCAGACTGGAAGATGGGTAGCACTATTTGACAAGTCTGTGGATAAGAAAGCCCTTTATAAACTGTGGGATGTTGTACACATTGGAAGGATGGATTGAATGACAAAAAACCCTGCCAGTTGGGATGGGGAAGGTCAGAATCAGAGTCTACTTCCTTCATTGTAGAAAAGGAAGTTCAACCTAAGAGGCAGGTCTAATGCTATGAAGTACAATTGACAATAGAATGGCCCAAGCTAGGACTAGACCCAAATGTCTAGACCCAAAACCCATACCTTACAATAAAGTTGTTACTCCCTTCAATTCAAACCTTTCAGCACTGATCCTCCCTCAACCACTGTTTTCTGTTTCCTAGGCCCCCATTGCTGTGCGGCTAGGCAAGGTAGCCATTGACAGAGGAATGGAGGTAAGATTCCACCAGGTCAGGACTTGAGTTGTTAAAGTTAATTGTGACTGGGATGCAGTACTTTCCCCATCCTTACAGCCAGACAACACAGCTGAAAAGAACTCAGGAAGTGAACTCATCTAACAAACTCCCAGCCTGACCCCTCTCTGTGTGTGCTTCAGTTTACCCATCTACAAAATGGCAAGTTTGGCCAGACAATATTCTTGGTTACATTTTATCCTCAACTCTCTCCTTTGGAGAGGAGAGGAAATTGAGGTTCAGAAAATGTAAATGGCTTGCCCAAGATAACAGAAGAAGTGAAGAATAAGAACCTGGATCTGTGTGGCTCCTAATCCAAGTTCTTGGGTTTGTGCCGGCAGTATCTGACTGCAAGTGCAGGGCTCAGCATGATGCACTGGGTGCAGCTAATCCATTCCTAGAAACCAATTCACTTACACTGAATCCAGGCCTCAGCTGGGAAGTGGGAAACAGAGATGAAATATGGTCACTACCCACTAGGTGGGGAAGGAAAATATATAGACACAAATCACTAATGGAAGGTTATGGCACTGAGAAGACACCCCAGAAAGGTTAGGGTGAGGCTCTCCATAGCTTAGTCATATGCTATTAAACTCGATGAAAAGCAAATAAGAATATCCAATTTCCCTACACACTAATCAACAATCCAAGTGCTTTCTAACAGCCACATGTGGTTAGTGGCTACTACACTGGGCAATACTGGGTTTAAGAATGTTTTCTAGAATTGGGCCTTGGAAAGGATAAGAATTTCAGAGAAAGGTTAAAGCATGAACAAAGGCACAGAGGTGTATAATTAAGAAGCTGGTGGAGTGAGGATACAACAATTTAGCCTGGAAGCAGAGAGAGGCGCACGTTTGGTGCTGGACCACCTGAGTCCAAAGCCCTGCTCTTCCACAAACTATTATCATTGGGACCTTTCTACTACTGCCTTACATTTCTCAGCTGAGTAACAGCCATAATGTCCCTTGTTGTGAAAAGTAAATGAGTCTACACATGTAGTATTTTTAGGACAGTACAGGTCAGTGGACAAGAGAGGATAGAGAATGTACCAGGTCAAGGCCTGGGGCTCCTTCCTAAGGGAAGAAGCCAACAGTTAACTCCTGGAGTGACAGGGTGAGGGTAGGGGCATAGTGAGGTGGCCAGGAAGGAAGAAAGGACTCTGGCTTGACTGTGTAGCTCTTGCTCCCCCTTCTTTGAAGAACCGTCAACTCTCCCCATGGTTCTCAGCCCCCATTTCTCTCAGCACTGTTTTGCCACTGTTATAAATGGTATTCCTTCTCCAGATAGAGAGTTCCCTCTGCTCCCAGAGGCTGGTGTCTGCAGTAGAGTGGGCTGGCTCTCAGTGCATGTGGATGGAGCTGGACAAAGCCAGGCTGATCCAGCAAGCACTTCTTTCTTTCAGGTGGACATCGCATCAGGGATGGCCATTGAAGGGATGTGTTATGCCCAGGTATGTGTCTGTTGCTAGTCCACAAACACTTCTTAGAGGACAGTGGGCTAGACTAGGGGAGCCTTGGGTGATACATGACCAAGCAAGAAGCCCAAACAGTCTGACTCTAAGGTATTTCCAGGGAAACCCCGTAATACTGTTTGTTCAACTACCTAATGGTGGTACATTCTGCCCAGTTAGTGCCCATAGAATTATAAGAGATCACACAGGGGCTGGGGTTGTGGCTCAGAGGCAGAGCGCTTGCCTGGCATGTATGAGGCACTAGGTTCGATCCTCAGCACCGCATATAAAGAAATAAAATAAAGATCCATTAACAACTATTAATAAAAAAAAGAGAGAGAGAGACCGACCACACAGGTACTTAACAAAGAGAAAGAATGGTTTCTGCTGTCCCTATACCAGTCACCACTATAGGGGCAAGGCTGGAGTTAGGGTGTCAGGCTTGGTTAAAACCTACAGACTGTGCCCAATGGAGGGGCTATAAACCTGAGCCTGACCTATTTGGCTTGACTCTTGGGTGAGTAAAATATGCTGATTTTCAGGAAAATATCAAAATCCTCTGAAACAGGGTGTTGGGACTGGTATAATCTAGTGAGAATTATACTGCTAGACTACTTGCTGCAAGCAGCCTCACACTGCTACAGGAGGTGGTGACCTCTCTGCAGGCATGTGCATAGTGCACAAGAGGTGCCCATGGTGGGCAGGCACAGGTGCCAGAGGCTGCCCTGTCTTCCCCAGGAGACCAGGAATCCAAGATCCAAGCACAGAAATAATGAAACATTTGGACCCTGGCCTTTTTATGGGTGGACAGGCTTAAGCAGCTGTTTGGCCTCTGGCTCTGCTTCCTCAAAACTAATATTCTATACACTGTTGCAGAATATCCCAACCCAGGACCGGCTGGAGGGCATGGCAGCCTTCAGGGAGAAAAGGCCCCCAAAGTTTGTTGGCAAATGACATTTAACCTTAAGTATAGGACATGCATGCCTTGAGCAAGATCCAGATGGAAAGTTTGCAGCAGGATGACCCTCATCACTTCACCTCTTTGGCCTTCAGTTTCTTCACAAGGATGATGATGGACATAAAATGGCTAGGGTTGTGCCTGATACCAAGGTGCTAATCACATGTCTACTGCCACCTTCCTTATTACTCACATTGGCTACATAATCATTAGTATCGGATTTACTTTGGAGAATCCCTGGCTTTCAGTGATCAGGTACTTACTAGAGTCAGCAAGGGATTTTAAGAAGGCCCTCGTGTTTTTCCTCTGGAAAAGAAAGAATAAATAAATCCTAGTATTGATTGAACACTGTATCAGGAGTTAGACTGCTAATTCCAACTTGGACACTTTCTTGCTATATGACCTTGGACAAACCGTTTAGCCTCTATAGGCTTCAGCTTCCTTTTCTATAAAATGAATCTGTTGTGAAGACTTAAAAACCCTCATGTTCAGGGCTGGGATTGTGGCTCAGTGGCACTTGCCTAGCATGTGTGGGGCACTGGGTTCAATTCTCAGCACCACATAAAAATAAAGGTACTGTAGTCTATTTACAACTAAAAAGAATTTTTGTAAAAACCCTAATATTCAAAATATATGTTGTAATACTTGGTGAGAACAAGTGAAATCACTGCTCTGAAAGCATTTTATAAACTACAGAATGACACGAAGACTTTTCCGGGCCTTCAGTAGCACAGAGAGGAGAGCAGTTAATTCTGATGAACAGAAGGGAAAGTTGGGAAATGAGCAGGCAACCATGGAAGATGAGCCTGGAGGAGTAACAGGCATTTGAATAAGAGGAAGGCTGAGGGCTGGGGATATAGCTCAGTGGTAAAGCATTTGCCTAGTAAGCACAAGGCCCTGGATTGAAACCCCAGTACAGGGTGGACGTAAAAAACCATCAGGAAGGTTGATGGGAACAGCATGGGCAAAAGTGAGCAAGAGGATAACACACTTGGAAAATAAAGGGGTTGGGGGAGACCTAGTATTCATGAATCCACCCACACTAGTCTCAATACCCTTCCCCTCCTCTTCTACCAAGGTGACCACATGGTCATCCTATAACTGGCTGAGCATTCTCAGCACATACTCTGGCCTAGAGTCACTAAACACTGGCAGGGACACATACCACTAACAGTGCTACTTGCTGCTAAATACAAATGTGCCAAGGTTATCTGTGTGTCCTGGTACGAAGAACAGCACAGAGGAGTTGAATCCTTAGAATCAGCAACAGCCTCACCAGGTGAATGACCACTCAGGAAAGTAACAACATTTTTGAACTTCCTTTTTCTCAAGTGTTAAGTGAGGAGAATAATTTATGTACCCCAGAAAATGGCTGTGAAAGAGACAAAACTGGAAGGGTATCTGGTGCACAGTTGGATCTCAAAAGATACTGGTTCCCGGGCTGGGGATGTGGCTCAAGCGGTAGCACGCTCGCCTGGCATGCATGTGGCCCGGGTTCGATCCTCAGCACCCATACAAACAAAGATGTTGTGTCCGCCGAAAACTAAAAAATAAATATTAAAAAATTCTGAAAAAAAAAAAAGATACTGGTTCCCATGATACATCCTTTAGCAAAAGTTAGCATCTAATAACACAATGTTCCAAGGTACTGGAAACTAGATCAAGACTATTTCTAGAATCATGAAGAAGAGTGAGTGTGAGATAAAGGGTGCAGTTTGAAGGATTCGGTTACAAATTACACTTATCTGCGAGGACACTGGTGAGTAAGAGTATGCAATGTGTTTTAGAGTACCTAAAAATGACATACTCAATGAGTCCCAAAGATGGCACACAATACTTCAATTAAGAGGTAAATTCAGCTAAAAGCACAAAACTCTAGTCTTAAAATATGCTAATAATCAAACAGGAATTTAGTTTAGTTATTTGAAAACTTAAACAGAAGGGTTGAGAATATAGCTCAATAGTAAAGTACTTGCATAGCATGCGAGGCCTTGGGTTTGATCCCTGTTATGGGGGAATAAAAAACGAAAACTTAAGCAGATGAATGACAAAGCAAATTCATCAGTTGTCAATAATAAGACAAGGAAGGAATTCATACTTTATTCCTCAGAGCAGCTTTGAAGACAAAACAAACAAAAGCTTCTGATAGAGTTTATGCTGTAATTGAGGCTTGATTTCAGAAAAGTGACCCCTTTGACTCCATGCTGAATAAGAGCACCCATAAAAATGTTTCAGAAAAGGCCAAAAAAAAAAAAAAAAAACACCAAAAACTATAAAATATATATTCTTTTCCCTCTACCTCTCAAATGGAAAGTACTCTAGTATCTGTTGGGGGGGGGGGATAAAAAAAAAGAAAATCTTTTCTCCCCCTTCCAACAGGTTCCATTTTCTAGATATTTTCCCCCATCTCTTGAGGACTGAGGATTGAACCCAGAGGTTCTTTACCACTGAGCTATATCCCCAGCACTTTTTCCTAAATTATGAGAAAGGGTCTCACTAAGTTGGCCAGGCTGGCCTTAAACTTGTGACCCTCCTGCCTCCTCCTCCTAAGTAGCTAGGATTCAGGTGTGCACCACTGTGCCTGGCCAAAAAAACATTTCAAAACATATTATTTCCCATCTTCATATACTTCTTTTCTGGTAGCTTCACATACCAGGAATAACAAATGAGGGAATTTAACAAACACCAAATTTCCCTGTAGGTCTGTCCTTCCTCTTCCCAGCAAAGAGGTCCTGTTTCACTGACAAACTCCCCAAAATGGAAAAACTGTTCAGGGTCAGAGAAAACTAACATAGCGATTCCAACACAAGCTCCCAAGTCTCCCAACAAAGTCCACAATAACTGGTTTTTCAACTCTACTGCTAAAGAGGTTTCCATAAAAATGATTCCAACTTGATTAGGGATTATGACTAGCATGTAAATCTAACTTTTTTATAATTTACAGAAAATCAACAAGAAAGGTCAATGAGACACCTAATACACAAACACCAACAAACATTTTCAACATTCAGTTACTGACAGGGAAGGAGACCTGGTTTCGAGGAGCAGAGCGCACCTTGGAAGCCCTCAGATTAAGAAGGGTCTTCAACTCAGAGGGAGACTCCGATAATTCATGAAATGCATCCTGAAGTCCTCTAGAATGGAAGTTGCCATCTGCTTTGCTTGAGGATTTGCCTGACTGTGCTCCTGGATATCATACAAAAGCTGCAATCCTCCTTCTTCAACTAACATTTTGCAGTATTTGCTAGCTAAAAGAAAATGAAAGACACTCTGTAGACATCCAGCATTTTAAATAATCCCAAATCACCACATTCACCTTTCTAAAGAAAGAGTATAGTCAGATACAGTGCCACACATCTATAATGTGACTCAGAAGTGACTCAGAATACTGAGACAAGAGGATCATAAGTTTGAGGCCTGCCTTGGCAACTCAGCAAGGCCCCAAATTTAAAATTTTTTTATTTATTTTTTTTATGGTATTATGTAGGAGTGTTGCCTTCTGGGTTTAAATACTGCTCAGTTACTAGTTTCATGATTAGACAAGATTTTTAACTTCCTTGTGCCTTAGCTTCCTCATGTATGAAATGAGGATGATATTTATTCTAGGGTTGCTGTGAGAATCACATGTGAAAATGCTTGTGACGTGCTTAAAGTAATGTTTAACACACAGTAAATATTTAATACATGTCAGTTATGTTATTTCTTAACTAATTTTTCCAATGTTTTCTTTCTTTTTTTTTTTTTTAAGGAGGGCTGGGGATGTAGCCCAGTGGAAGAGCACCTCTGGATTCAATCCTTAGTGCCCCTGCACATACTCAAAAATACACACAAAATATAAAGGTTGAAGCCCTTTGGACTAGGAATCAATAGTTAAAATGAGTCAATTTCAGGGTAATCTGTAAAAATGTAAATAATGCTTGGTTTGTATGAGAAAACAGATGATCATCTTGTTATGTTTATATCCAGATAAATAAAAAAAGATGTCTAAAGCATAGTTATGTTTTAGTTGTAGATGGACACAATATTTTTATTTTTATTTATTTTTTTAATGTAGTGCTGAGGATTGAACTTAGAGCCTCAGGCATGCCAGGCAAGCTCTCTACCACTGAGCTACAACCCCAGCCCTGCTTCAGACATCTTTAATCTTAACTTTTATTAAGGCGGGGGGCACTAGGGAAGAATAGCATTACCTAAGATTAGGTAGAGGGAAGTGATGGGAAGGAAGGAAAGGGGATGTGGGGATAGAAAAGATGGTAGAATGAAACAGACATTATTATTGTATGTATATATGTGACTGCATGACCAATATGATTCTGCAGCAAGTACACTCAAAAAATAAGAAATTATATCCCATCTATGTATGATATATCAAAGTGTATAAATGCACTCTACTGTCATGTATAACTAATTAAAACAAATAAAAACTTAAAAAAAATAAAAGCAAATTTAGCCATGTACAAAGGCACATGCCTGTAATTCCAATTACTCAAGAGGTTGAGGCAGGCGAATCACAAATACAAGGTCCACCTGGGCAATTTAGCAAGACCCTATTTCAAAATAAAAAATTTTAAAAAGGGCTAAGGGTGTAGCACAGTAGTAAAGCACCCCTGTGTGAAATCCCTAGTATGGACAGGAGAAAACAAAAAAAAAAAAAAGGAGGATCAAACTTCTTTTTTTACAAAACTACACACTTTAAGTTAAGGCAACATGCTGAGCAAAATAACATATTGGTTTAAAACTTTGCAAAATCACAGTCCCAACTAGTCTGAATTTTACTACCTGAATGTCACTGGGAAAATTAATGTAAAGGGTGGGGATATGGCTCAGTTGATAGAGTGCTTGCCTCCCATGCACAAGGCCCTGGGTTCAATCCCCAGCACCACACACACACACACACACAAAAAATTAATGTAAAACTCTGCCCAAGCCTAGGGAAACCTCTGAAGTACTTCACAAGTGCAAATACAAAACTATGCTGAAGGAATATGTTAATTTAGTATATAAAAAAAAGTGAGCTCATAGGGGCTGGGGTTGTGACTCAGTGGTAGAGTGCTCGCCTTGCATGCGTGAGACCCTGGGTTTGATCCTCAGAACCACATAAAAATAAATAAGTGAAATAAAGTTATTGTGTCCAACTACAACTAAAAAATAAATATTAAAAAAAGTGAGCTAACAATCAAAAAACTACAAACATGAAAATCAAGCCTCATTCAACACGCACACAACAAGATGATCAGATACAGACCACAAAACTTTTAAAGAATAAAGGATAAGAAAATGTGAAAAAGAAGCAAAGATGATCCATGTCTGATAGAAGTGCCACAAGAAAAGAACAAAGTGGGTGCA